ACTTAAGTCGAATTCAGACTCAGCAAATTGGTTTTCGTTTATACCCAATGAATTTTAATTTTGATCTAGCAATACGTGATACGTAGAATTTTCATATTTCACGATTTCACAATTTTTGCCGATAGTACTAACACGTCAAACTGTTGAAATGTTAAACATTAAAATTAAACGTGGCAATAGCTGTCATTTCACACGTACAAGATAAATGATTTCAACACTATTTTCTTTCATTAAAGAAACTACTGCGATCGATCGACAACTTATCTCATTGGCAATGAAAGTCACAACTCTCCCGCTGATTATTACATTTATCATTTTATTCTTCTCATTTCTACAAGTGCATTTATCGAACTGGTGAAAAACTTGTTTACCAAAGACCTAACGTCAATGTTGCAGTTGAACGCGTCGAGGAGCAACTCCACGTGCAAGTATCTGCACATCTGCAGTGAAATAATTACAGTACATCCAGCCAGATCCTTCCTACAAGTAACACGCTGATGATTCATCCCATTAATCGCGGAATTTTCACGTACGGTTCCACTTTCACGAGCGCAAGTAGCACATCCTCGCTCTGTTCGTGTATCACGTACTGATCTATCATTAGCTCGGCGTATTCTGATTTCTTGACGATCAGTTTCCTACTCAGTGGCGAAGTTAGTTAAATTTACCAACACGTGCTCTCGACAAAATTAGTTCCAACTTTTTGTTCAATCTGATGTTCTTGCCTTTTGCTCGTTTCAACCCAAACTATTGATATTACAGTCAATCTGGCAATCTACCAATTCCTTTTTCCAGATCATTTCAAAAGTGAATTCCTTGAAAAAAAAAAAAAAAAAAAAAAGGAAAAAAGCGAAAGATCCGCCCACTCGAGACGCGAGCACACCAGCAAGGTATGAATCCTGAAAACTTATCGGCGCGTAAATCACAGGCGCAAGCTGGACAATACGCATAACGGAAGGGGCCGGCGATGGCTTTCTCGATTGATGCATTCTGTCGTCACGGAACACACGAGTGTTCCGGTGCATACAAACGCTCGCTGAACACGTACACATCCTGCTCGTACGAACGAACGGTTCTTCGATAATGTGGGTCAGAGCTCGTTTACGTAGCCGGCTCTCAGGCTTATCTAGCGTGCTGCTAAAGTTGCACACGCGTTTCAACGAGGTTCTCCGAGTTACTTACGAGGAGGAGAAAAGATGTATCCTAGTAGAATAGCGACAGAGTAGAAAAGATTCTCAATTCACATTTTTTTGTGCTGACGCATCGTGATCATGCTGCCCGCACAGCGTGGCGACATTTCAGCGTACGTAAGTGGATAAGAAATTGATCCTCGTCAATTACCAATTTTCTACGGTCAGTTTCAATGATTGCCAGCGATGTCAATCTAATCATCCTTGATTAATTTACGAATGAAACGGACGCTGGTTATTCCTAATTCCTCGTTGCAAGTAAATTGATGTAACACAACGCGGGAGTACAACAAGTCGCTATTGTCGTTCATTCTTAGATAGATGAAACGTACATTTCACATGTGTCTGATCTATCAGTGAATTCGACTCGCCTCTTCCAAAATTCTAGCTGTTTATCAGTCGAGTTACAAGTTTATCTCTCTTTCCACATTCGATCGAATTATCTCTGGTGAACAGAGCGCGCGAACGTGCTGAGCGTTTGATAAGAACAGGGAAGAAAGAGGTCGAGACCGTATATATAATTTATCTGGCCGAGTTGAACAGATGATGCGTTGGAGAATTCGTGGTTATATTGACACGGCGAATTACGACGCGCGGCGAGAAAATTGGCACGTTTATCGTTAACCCTTTTAGCCGAAGCGATTTTAGTCAACGCCTAAATTAGCACCGGACGAATGGTGGTCGACACTCTCTGTGTTCTCTAAACACGAAACATTTTTCAGAAACGATCTCCGCGTTTTCGCCGTGTTTCAGCCGCATTGCTGATACACAGCAGAGCATACAAGCACGACTTAAATCAGATTCAAAGAGATCGTTGATAATTTCGACCGAACCTCTGGCACAGACCGCGCGTCATTGTCTTTACGTAATATCGTTAAACACCAACGTCCAAGTGTATTTAATTAATTCCACCGAGCAATATTCCAAGCGGTTATTACGTGAAGAACAGGAAAAGAAAGAGAGGAAAAATTGCTCGTTGTTACATGATCGACGGATGAAAGGTCCTATCGTTAGAGAGAGAGAGAGAGAGAGAGAGAGAGAGAGAGAGAGAGAGAGAGAGAGAGAGAGAGAGAGTGTGATTTTACATGAAATCACGAAAACTAACTTTTATGAATACATTATGTATGGTATAGGAATCGTTCTGAAGTATATAGTTAAGTATTCCAACATTTGGAAAAATTATTACATAAAATATCTTGATATTCATCAATTAAATATTCGACGTTTATCATCCAATGTATTCACGAATATCTTGCAAATTCTCTATGTACATTCGCAGATTTTACCAACGTAACTTTAACATGAAAAAATGTTAAAATGAAATGAAACACATAGAGAACACACGAGGTTCATAATCGTGTAAACATACGATGAAACTTCATTCACCCAAGACAACGAGCAAACGAGAGTTCATTTAATCGACTGTCGATTAAAGTTCAATTCGAATAAACGAACGATCAAGTTCGAAATGAATTTAACGTACTTGAACCTGATTAATTGCAAGACTGAAGAGGAAAAATTTCCTGGCTTCCTGGTTATTTCAACTTCATAACGAACCATCGAAAGTTGTAAGAGTTTCTACATAAACCGCGATAAAATATGGACGTCCAATTGTATTTCGACACTTATTTACTATTAATTTTCGGTATCGCGCCATGAACGTGGAAACCAATTACCATTGACACGAACGATCGTCGACTCAATTGTTTACAGCTGTGTTGGTTCATTCAAAGTTTGTGGAACGCGTGATAATTACGAGATACTGAACGTGGAAGTAACAAAGAAAACGATCGCCGTTACTCATATTTTTAAGAACATGCGACTGAAAAAGTGAAACTTAAAGATTAACTTTCGATGTGACAATGGCTACGTTCGTTTTTCATTTTCTTCTTTTTTTTTCTTTTCTTTTTTTGCAGACTTTCACAACCCTAAATTTCCCACAGACGCGTGACGATCGTTAAACAATCCATCGAACGACTCGAATGACATTTTTTTTTTTCCAGTGCAACTCAAATCGATAATAACCGACGTACATATGTGAGCGATGCCTACGTGCAATCTTGAAAATAATGCGGCTGATTGGCGACAATTGACGCGGAAGCTCGTTGAATCCATTCAACGACACAAAAAAGAAAAAAAAAAAATCCTGCGTTCTCCTGCAGTGATCTTTCGACGTGCAAAAAGCTCAGCAGAAGATTGACACGACTTTATTGTTAGTTAATCCGCGTAGGTGCGAATCGTTAAAGCGTTGCACAAGGTTACTCGCAGGCGAGTACACGGACGCGATGACGAGGCCAAAACTAGCGATGAGAAACCGATGCACCTGGAACGCATGCAACCGAGACAAAACACACGTATCCGTGCACGAAAAAACACGCGTGTTACATCATACTTCGTGTCGAACGTAACTACGCTTCCTTTTGAACGGCAGAAGGAAAAGATTTGACTTATCAGCGTCGCTCGACCTCGAGCGTTTCTTTCTTTTTTTTTTTTTTTTTTTTTTTAAAGATCGGGTAACTATACTAGAGGAATTGCACTGTTTTAGAAACGTCGAGTTTGGAGTTGTGAACTTTGAATTCTAGATCGTTGGATACTCTATACTCCTTCAGAAGTCTTCAAGATTGGAATAGTTTTAATCTTTTCTCGCGAGTTTATCATTCTCGAATTTTCTGATCTACAACATATTCACATTTCCAAGATTTTAATACGCACCAAGTTTCGAATGACACGGGTGTTTGCATTTTCTAAGCTCTCGACGTTCAAGTAAATGTTGAAACTTCTGAATTTTTGGATATTTCAATCCTCAAATTATCAAAGTCTGAACTTTCAAATTCTCATACGTTCGCGTGACCAGATTCCTCAAATTTCCAAATTTTCAACATTTCTCATATCCGAGGAAAGGATAAAACAAATACCGATGCTTCAACATATTTTCTGTCGTAATTAGCTGAATACCAGCACCGAAATAGACTCGCACTGTACACACGCATTTACGCACACGTGCGTTTCATCATGTTGAAGATCTGACGTAACCAATCGCTCATGGTGCGTAGTCCAGCTAGCGTAAATTGCGAAAACTGGATGGAAAATCAACGTGAAATACGATCCAAGTTCAAAATATGTTTTCATATTAGCCTATCGGTACGTGTGTAGTGTCCTCGCGTCGGATTTATATAAATCAATCGTACTCACGTGCGTACCGATGCACCGGGATATCGGTGCAAATACCGTGATCGAAATTAACAAAAGAACAAAGAGTAAACGGTGATTTTTCTATTGGCGATGGAAAAAGAACGGAAGGTCAAAGTTGATCTTCATTACCTCCATGATTTATATCGGGTATTAATATTAAAGTAGAGACCACACCACCGCCTCACCCTCGAGGATTTTCCACGTGTGCATCTGAATGCGTCATAAGCTCTTGCTGGCAGCGATTATTTCACCACGTCACGGAATCGATCGAGCAACGTTTGTTCCCGCGTCTCGATCGATTCGAAACAATTTAAAAAGGCACGACAATTTTTCGTAACTAGCCGTTGTGCAACGCCTCGAATACGTTCGACTGCTCGAACACCGTTTTAAAATGTAAGATGACCGAGTCACTTGGAAGCCACGAAATTGACAAGTGTGATTCACTCCGTTTCAATTGATTACTTTATATATCATCAACCAGCGATGAATAAATTTGCGAAGGCGGGTCGGTTTAAAATCAGGAAATTGATAAAAATCGAGGCCGATCTAGGTTTGCCATTAAAAAGAATCGAGACTGTTGCTCGTAAAACTGTTGGAGCTCGCGAAATTTGATATTATCTCACGTCCGCGAGATCGCCCGAGCTGCGAACGAGATTTTCATTCCCAAAACAACGACGAGGCACGACGTTCGAAAGAAAACAAAATTCAAGGCGACAGTGACACCACGACGCTCCCACTTTACGTCAGCCGTATACGCCAGTGTTTTCGAAGTTTTTTTTTTAGTTCACCAAAATTTATCGACGGAAAATTACCAACCATCGTGTTGTATCGTATCTTTTAATTAGCCGCATAAATTTCCTAATGTCTCTCTCTAATCCCTGCTCCTAACCTAATCATTTTAACTTATCGGTCAAAGTAAATTAACTGCGCCAACAGCATTCAATTGGAAGAAAAATTCATGATCTTGTAACGCGAGAAAACCCCATGGTACACGGTACACGCGTGGTCAAGACTAGATGTACGCATTAATGTTCTCTCTCTCTTTCTTTCTCTCTTCATCTTAGTACGCGTTACAACACACCTATGATAGACCGTTTATGCGAACCACCGCGTCACTCACACATGTCAGGCCAGGAAATCGCGCTCGATCATCTCGCTGGTAGTTATAGAGCAACCCTCTGGGGGTGGCAAAGCTGAAGGAAAAGCACAAGGTTCGCAATATGGTACGTGATGCAGGTGAATAACATGGTGTCCCTTTGTGGGCACGCTCGAACACATGCATCGCATCGTCCGTGGCACAGAACGTTTTTATATGTGATGCACACAGTGAAATAAGAGAGAGAAAGAGAGACGAGAGAGAAACAGGGGGGGAGAGAGAAAGAGAGATAGAGAGAACGAGTTCCCTATCAGTGTCTAACGGAGAGACAGAAACGAACTGTCATCGTTAAAGAAAGAAGAGAGTAGTAAGGTCGGTCGTAACTCACCGATTTGTAGTATCACGCGAGGTAGCACGATCCACCGAGCCTGGAGTCGTTCCCGTGGGTCAAATGATCCTGACGAGCTCCATGGTTTTCCTGAACTATCGGCGCACTCGCGAATTCGTCCCTCGCTGCTCTGGCCCTTCTGTCACAATACACACGAGCACCCCTCTCGATTGTCTCCTTTGCGTGCAAACTCGACGAGAGAGGTTTGACGGATGAGAGACTCGTCCAGCACAAGCACTTACGACCCCCACCGAGGTCTGTTGCCAACTGACCTAGCCAGTGACAGTTCTACGCCATCTACCAGGCTTACCAACGAGCCATCGCCAAAGTAACTATTAAAAACTCGTATGACGATGCTCCGAGATCCACCTGAAACCAAAAGAGAAGCCTTTTATGACTAAACATTCGTATACATCACAAATTCTTGTTGAAGAACATATATCATTAAATGCTATGTGACCTTGTAAAATGATTTGCAATATGGATTTGTTGTACAGTAATGATATGATTTATAACGTGCAAATAGAGTTATCGAGAGAAAGGGTAACGACATGTGTTTTTTGGATATTCTCGGTATATGTAAAGGTTTGTAGAAGCATTTGAGTGAAGCGTATACTTCCGAAATAGATAAAATGACAAAAATTTGCTTGCCAGCGTTGTTCCAGACGATTATTTCGATCAAAAAGCAATGGTACGCGAAACGAAAACAGCAGAGAGAATGTAATTTTCTTCGCAAAGGTTGCCGGCACTGTCGATCATATGGCAATCAGCTGTAATTCACGTTTCTTCGGTAGACATATGTTTGCACCTGACTTTAGAAATAAATGGCCGAAGAAAACGATGTTCGATGTATTATTTGTATCACATTTATCATATCTTCAACGACTTCGTGTTTTGTCGATGACGTTGCACAATGATATATCGATTTAACACACGTGATTGCATTATTTAAACGCGTTTGAAATCTCTGCACGAAGTATTTAAACTCAAGGTTAATTGATGTAACGGCTTATTATTTGATAGTTAAATTAGATCAAATCTGGGATTAAGCAATTAAAATGCATATGGTAAAAATTTGATATTTAATCAACGATTGTAAATCGTAATTTCATTTGTCTTCGGAAAACACGTGATTTAAACAGAATTTGATTGTTTTATTCGCTTAATTAATGTTTAGCGCTTACGTTGGTCGATTACAAACGTACGAAATTTATTAAACCACTTTGAACGTGTTTGATCGCTATATCAAAAATAATAAAATGCCTATTAAGTCCATATGTTGCTGTGATTTAATCCATAAAAGTTTTATTTACAAATGTTTAACCATTTCTTGGAATCAGAGATCTGAAATGTGTTCCAGATGGTATACTAATTGATAATATCAAAATCATGCCTTGATAAGAACATGGTATGCACGATGATTGCATCTTTTCTCAGTCTTAACTGCATCACTTTTTGCCAGATTTCTTTATACCGCCTGTGACAAGAGGTCCCCTCTGACTAGCTTTCTTTGCAGCTTCTGCGAGCGCTTTCTGTTGTTCCTTTTGTTTCTGCTTGAACGCCACGTCCTCGTCATCCAAAACTTTTGATTCCTTCTTCGGAGCCTTCAAAGGCTTCTTCTTACCACCTTCGCGACCAGACATTCTAAAAGTAATTTCGAATTATATAAAAAGTTCCATAGAGTAAACAATTGTAAATTCCTTAATTTAGCATGATTACAATATAAAGGAATGTACAAATAAGACAACAAATTTCCATTGCCATCAAATCAACAAAACAACGTTTTCACAGGCATAACCTATAAAATATTTATCATGTCAGAATTGATACCATCACGAAAATTATAAATCACAATGGTGCAAATATATCATTTAATGTAATTGATATACTTAAAGGATGAAATAAAAGAACGAATTTAATATATACGAGATTTAAAACTGTTCTAAAACTAATGTAATCGACAATCAAATGCGTACATTAGGACAATGGTAACTTATATTAAGCAAAAGTAAGGAATAGTAAGAATCACTTACCTTACGATATTGCTAATATTGTGAAATTTGCCAAGTAATTCGAGTAATTTTCGAAATTTGAAGTATCGGAAATCAGAAGTGAATGCTTCTAGAAATTTTGGTTATCACGTTTCACACTAACCGTCGCATGACAGCGAATAGTTACACTGCCACCTACCGAAGAAAGCGGGAATTTCTTACGAATTTACTATGGCGGGTACAAGAATTATATTCAAATCATAAACGACGATATAAATGTATTTACATGTGATTCATATTCTACCGAATTAATTTATGAACATTTTTGTATGTAACACGAAATATAAAATTTAAAAAATAGAATTTTATAATTATATGAAATTTAATTCGCAGCATGACATTTTAACTTGTATAATCAATATGACAAGTACTACATGTCAATGATATAAATTATAATTTATCTCAATTCTGATACGATAAAGGGGCTCTAGAGCTTATAACAATGATAATACAAAAATGTATCGGCATGAACAAGGTATACGAATAGACATTGCATCTTGCGGAATTCAATCACTAGTTTTTTAACGCACTCTTTATGATACTTGGTCTGCCATCTAACAATGAAAACTTCAATCATTTCCATACTATTATTTCCTAAGAGCACTATGCGACAGACAATATTCATTTTCATAAATTTTTGACTGGTTTCAATTTTCATTGATTGCTCATGATCCACAACAAATAAAATAAGATATATTAGAAATAAAACGTACAATTCTTATTTTTCCTATTTCTTATTTTTCAAATAGTAGTCAAACTCTGTTCTGAGGATTGTGCTGTCCTCTACAATTCAATATCTTAACAGTTTTTCAGTAGTCACAAACACGTGCCTATTAAATCAAAAAGCTTAGTGATTTATATTAACATATTGAATATTTTTCACAATCTAACTTTTTAGTATTTGGAAGATGAACTTAAACTTATATTTAATTGCAGCAGCATGTGAGGGAATGGGTATTGGCATAAAAGGGACTTTACCATGGAAACTTAAGTAAGAAATAATTAAGATAACATCGTGAGTTAAGTCTAAATAATAATTAATAACATATTAGTAACATATTCTATTCCTTATCTTACAGAAGTGAAATGTCATTTTTTGCATCTATGACGACGAATACGAAGGACCCAGATAAAAAGAATGTTGTTCTAATGGGACGGAGGACATGGGAGTGTATTCCGAAGAAGTACAGACCGTTACAAAACCGAATAAACATAGTCCTTACATCACAGGATTTGTAAGATACTTTCATTAATGATTAAGTTTATTTAAACTTGAAGTTTATTTGAAATTAAATCAAATTAATATGACCGAATGTTATTAAATGAAAGGAATAAAACAATAATTAAATATGTAGAGATTACGGTAACGATGCGATAATTTGTAAAAGTATTCCACACGCCCTTGAAGTTATTGAGAAACCTCCGTTAAAGGATCAAGTTGAACATATATGGGTAATAGGAGGAAGTTCTGTATACAAGGTGCGATATTTATACAGATAATTGAGAAGCTGTAACAATTAAATAATTTACACATAAATTTGAATTTCAGGCTGCAATGGAGTCACTGAATTTTCACCGACTATATTTGACAAGAATAAAAAAACATTTCGACTGTGACACTTTCTTCCCACCTATTCCTAATAATTTTGTTTTGACACAGTATGTTAATTTTATTTTATTTTACTGTATTTTTCTCAACTTTCCCTAAATTTTATTTTATTTTATTTTCTTTTTCATCGATTAAGAGATCCAAATATACCTCAGGGTGTTCAAGAAGAAAACGATATACAATTCGTATATGAAGTGTACGAAAGGAAATGAATTTTTGTACCTAATTTGTAAAGTACTGAACTCCAGTATTAAGCTTATCAAGAATAAACCAACTACATTTAATTAAAACAACCAAACCTAAACTATTTTCCTCAATGTTTTATTATTGGCAAAAGATTTTTTTATAATCGTAAGTTACAGTTGGATATAACGTTATGTTAAGTGAAAAAAGTTCCTTAACCAGGAGGCCATTGCATTTGACGACCACCAAGAACATGTAGATGCAAATGATAGACCGATTGTGCACCATGCTGGCCGTCGTTGATGACTAAACGAAAACCACGATCGAGACCTTCTTGCTTCGCCAGTTTACGAGCAACTATCATTAAATGACCCAACAAAGCTTCGTCTCCATCCTCGGCCCTCGAAAGTTGCGGTATCGGTTTTCGTGGAATCACCAGGAAATGCACCGGTGCTTGGGCGTTAATGTCATGAAATGCAACGCACTAACACATTAAAATTTTGTTTTACTAGCAACCTTAACGACAAGATAAATTGTAGCGTAAGAATTATGTTTTCAAGGTTCTAAAAGTTTATAGTATCATTTTGGAAAAAGATTTCTATGAAAGAATTGGAATTAACAAACAAATTGAGATTAATATATATATTGTAGATTAAATTACGTAATCGTTATTTTGCAGATTTTAAACGTTGATACTGTCATTTTAAGGAAAACAACTAAAAGAGATTAAACACATAAAGAACAATGTATAAATTAAAAATTTATATAATTAGGAATTAATTTGGCAAAATACTATGATATGACATATTAAGAATAAATTAGCATTTCAACAATGTAAATATACAATAATTGTTACAAGGACATGATAACCGGTAATTAACCTCACGTCCTTACAACAAAAATATATTTGAGATGTTTCAGAACAATATTTTTCCAACCATTTAATTCAATTTACCTGATCATCCTCGTAAATAAAATTGCAAGGTATTTCTTTACGAAGTATCTTTCCGAAAATGGTATCTCCCGTGGGAGCTGCAGTTTGTGCTTTTTCCACTTCGGTCGCCATTTTTCTCCAGCATGGAGTATAATGTGATAGATTGGCGTTGAAATATGGTAGACGTTTAAACGAAGTTATGGGAAGATTTAAAAATAGTCTCATTTCAAGAGTACTTCAAATACCTTTGTCCATTAGCACGTTAATCTTCCAAGTTCAGGTCGGAATAATTATGCGATAAAGAATGTACAACGTTCAAGACGCCATGTCAAGAACAATAAATGGCGGTTAATTTGAATTGCACAATATGACATTAAACTTTGGATGTTTATGCAAATTCATGCTTTTACGAACATAATTGAAAGGGTTTAGGCAAAGATTTCATTTATTTGAGTTGAGAAATTTTATACTTTGGACATTTTATATATCCATGTTGTATATTTTAAATAATAAATGCATAAAAGTCCACAATCTATACATTACTGTACTATACTTTTAAAATAGCTAACAATTCTTCGATTTTAGTTTTAAAATTACTCTATCATAAAACATGAGAAAATCTAGCTCATTATGTTCTTTCCCTGTATTCTTTGCATACATATATGTATGTGTATGACTATGTATTATCGGATTATTGATCGATTACTACTCCACTTTCTAATATAATTTCAGTTTAAGAATAGTTTCGATATATAAAACTATAAAATCTTTATTTTATTGTACAGTCTTTTTAAACGTCTTCCATGTGTCTTTACAAAGTGCGTAATTAGATATATATAAATATTATTCGTAATATTAAAATTTATACACATACTGATAAGATAAAATACATTATTAAACACTATTCGTTACTTGTTTTACATATGGCAGTGTACTTTCTGGTTTTTTTATGGGAGATCCTATGTTCTTCCGACGAATCTAACGGGTCAATAGGCCCCAGTCTTACAAGAATAACGCTAGTTAATAGTCCTTATAGTTAAGCTTAATTACGTAGAAAATTAAGGCATGGATTACGAACGTTCCAACGACTTTGGAAGGCACACCTTGTTAATTATTACACGAAATTATTTTTGGTGCGCATATATAAATCCTACTTTGTTCCTACAAGAAAATATCATCTACTCGAGAGGTATAAAGTAAATAAAATGTCACTACAATTAGACACATCAGAATTACGAACATGAAAGTAACGATTGAAATACTATTACCGAAATAAATAATGTTACCGTTAGATACGCAAATAATGGAAATTATATGGTTGTCTAATTCAGAACAGACAAGTCAGAAGAACCGTTATTTTCTACATTATTTAACGACTACGTATAATTAAACTATGATGATTCCACGATGCAACAGAATGGCTGTATGACTTAAATACGATGATCGCTCCACAATGTGTAGCAAACATACTTTGCAATTGTAATTTCTAAATGACAACGGAATATGTATAAGCCTTGTACATATAGTTACAAAGATCTCTATTGTATCATACTCGTAATGAACTGTACTTATCTGCTTAAAAATAAAAGTACTGCGACGTCCTTAAAAAAGAACAATATGCTTACATATTTTTGGATATCGTAACGTCAGTCTGCTTTTGAGATATTACTAAAAATGTTCGAGAAAGAAAAGAAAAGAAAAGAAAATACTTAAATAATCATCACGAGTCATCTTCGGTGAAATACCGATGTTTGAGAGCCTGTGCTGCGGTTAATCGTCCATGAGGATTAAACACAAGCATACCTTTAATTAAATCTAGTCCATCTTCATTGAGATCAGGTATTATTGCCGCAAGAGGTTTCGGTTGTCTGTAAGGAAAGGCTGTCCAACCAAGGGACACATTTTCCGGCCACTCTTCTTGCGACGGAGTTCCAATTACTCTGCAGAAATAATTAAAATACATTTGAATTTAAATTATTTTCTTTTATGAAAAAAAGAAAGAAAGAAAGAAATGATGAATATTTTCATTAACTTACTGAAAAATTCTATCGAGTTGATCACCTTCGCTCGAACCTGGGAACAATGGTTCGAGTCGCTTCAATTCTGCCAATATACATCCTACGGACCAAATGTCAACAGGGGTGGCATATGAACAGCCTAAAAGGACTTCTGGAGCGCGATACCACTGCGTCACCACCTACAGTTATCAATAATTATCAGTGATTTAATACTAAGACGTATAATTCGTATCAACCTACCACAGAAGTCAATCTCATCTCAAAGTCATATGTTTTTGCCAGTCCAAAATCCGCGATCTTTATTCTCCCTTCCTTAGTCACCAACAGATTCTGAGGTTTCAGATCCCTGTGAATGATCCTGTGACTGTGTAAAAACTCCACTCCTTGGAGTACCTCCTTCGATATTTGTTTCATCAGATGAGACGCAATACCTGACCGCGGGCAAGACGACATGAAAGATGCTAGATCTCGTTCCAGGTGTTCGAATACCAGCCACAACGCTATTCCTCGATGTATCCTCTCAGACCTTTCTTCATCGTCAGCAGACAAATGTACATAAGTTCCTTGACAAACGTCTAGTAGTCTTACCTGCGAGCGTAACAAAAAACTTTATTACTAACTACTTACTTTGGAATCATAGTTTAAATTAAATCTTGTTAAACTTCAGAATTTTTAATTTAATTTAATTATTAATTTCTACTTTGGAAGAATGTAAAATACAAACTAAACTTAGACCAGCCTAAACTTCAGTAATATAATTATAATCGATTCTAATGAAAATTATCTATAATCATTGCTACAATTATCTATAATCCAACGACACTATAGTTAAGTATATACGCTTACAATATGAGGATGCTCGAATCTCTCAAGTTGTTTCAACGTGGCAATTTCCCTTAACGTAGATGTGGGTAGTCCGTCTTCCGTCAGAGGCACCCGAATTTTCTTCAACGCCACTACTTGGCCCGTGTTCAGGTCTTTGGCTTTATAAACAGTACCATAAGCTCCATTCCCAATCAATGACAATTCCTGGTACAACGTTTTCTCTCCATGTAACGAACTCTGAACATGCACGTCGCTATGTGTCTCTAATATCTTGCCAGAGCTGCCAGACAGTTCTTCCTGGGCGCTATATTTCATTTGTATAATCGTTTCGAAACTACCAAAGAGTCCTTCTTTCGAAGAGCCAGCCGCCACGTTCACAGGCCCCTCCAAGTTAGTTCGAATCAGCTGCTTCGTGTTGGCCAACGATTCCTCACTGATCTTGAAGGGATTCGTCTCCGACGCGCTGCTTGGTATCAACTCGATCGTGTTCTCGGACAACGAGCTGGCCAATTTCTCCACGCTCTCGAGTTCCTCGGTGCTCAGGTCATGTTCCTTCTCGGATGTTCCCTCGATCTCCGACGTCTCGGAGAACTTGGATTTCTTCGGCGGCGTCGGTGAAGACAGGTCAGGTCCGAGCTCTGAGCTCGGACGTCGTGATGTTCCAGCCATCACAACATTTCGACTTCCACCTGAAAAGCAGAAAGAAACCGATGTAATCGTTTCCATTATACCGGTTACAAACGACTTATCTACGCGTGCAAGTGTAAAATGTTGACAGGTTACACCTGTTTTAATCATGACACGGACGATTCAATAATTTCAACTGGATTATCAGCACGTAAGTAAACATTAGCTTGGAGAATGGTATTGAGACGTCTGTGTTAAAACTTTTAGTCCAGAGTAATGCTCTGATGGACGGGCAAAAGAGTAGAAATCAAATTTTTGATTAAAATGATACATTATTTTCAAGAAAATCATTTTTACACGTTTGTGGGAAATACACGGGACACAGATATAAAATATTCCGTATATAGGTAGTAATATATGGAACATTTGAATAATAATGTAGTTGATTCTTGGGCTTTCGTGAAAATTTTCGTGTACCGTACACGATCATGTTGCACCGTCTGCTACGTGACATCTGCACATGCACCTGCGCTCGTATAACAGCCCTAGCCTCATCGTTGACTTAAGGTAAGAAGGGTCTCTTAATATTCTTTGTTTTCTTTGGCGGTGATATAATAATACCCAGATGATGAGAACAAAATTCTGTACTACATTTCTAAAAATTGGTTTATTCGTTTGTTAAGTTATAGACAGTTTCTTCAAGTACAGAATCCAAAATTCTGTCTCTAAGATTAAAGAGTGATAAAATAAGAAAATGTGACGTATTACAAATATAGCCAAAAACTTTCAATTTTCATACTACGTAATAATTAACATAACAAAAGTGTATCACGTTTGAAATCGATACTTTAAAAAGACCGTTCCTCTCGAGAAAGATGGAAAGCTGATTTATTTTTGCTTCGTAATTATGAAACCAGCAGTTGTCTCGTACTTACACAAGATACTACACGAGATACTCGAAAACTATAAGGCAATCATAATTGTTAATTTTTATAGTTATGAAGCGCAGTATATCGCCCTCGTCTGCATATACACAATAGTTGAACCTCATACGTTGTGTACTATTAACAAAAGTTGAATGAAGAAGGCGTGAAAGATAATACTGAGTTGCGTAGGAAGATACGAAGACCTAGTTTTTGTTGTGTGACTTGTGTGATAAAGTAAGAAAATTTGAATGTAGTTTAACCTAAGGGCCATGGGAAGGCAACGTAGTACCTATTTATGGTTTCGTAATATTTACATAAATGTAGTAGCTTAGTATACACACAAGCGTGTACAACGAAATACACGATATTACATTAAGTATATGGTCTCTAAGTTTATATCTGTAATTAATCGGACACTCGAAAATGTATATATTTTATAGTATCGAAACTTTTTGTGAACGAGGAGTAAATTTCGCGATTTCTTACAAACGACGTTTTCGAAAGCTATCAATACTACTACTATAAAATGTCATCTTTGTGGAGGAAGTTTTATAGCTATTTGATTAAATTATTTTTATCAACTTCCTTTGTGATAAGAGCGCGTAAAAATGTGTAGAAAATGGAGCAGAGGGACAAACATCATGCGAAACTGTATAAGGAGCTTTTCGCAAGTTAAACTATCTCAATGATTTCAACAGGTTTCAGACAAACGTTGTGCAAATTTTCCAAAGCTAAATTTTCTCAGCTGCGAATTTTCGTTGGTAATTTTCAACAATGGAACAAAATCGCAAAACGTGGAAGAGCAATAAAATAGTGGTGAATTTCAAACTTCCTACCACGTGAACTGATTGCAAAGTGAAGTTCATTTAAATTTAAAACGAAGTTTATTTAAATTTAAACCTTGTCGATTATACAATACGAATTTCCTATCTAAACAGAAATACAAAGTTAAAAAATAAAACTGCGCGTTAGATAAGAAGAGAAGAGTAACGACAAATCCCAAATTTTTTGAAAACTCCAAATCCAAATCCGAATTTCCTAGAGTTTCCATGCAACAGTATCACCCACCCAGAACCACGTAAGCGGACCAGTCACCAGTTTCCAATGTATCATTTCGTCCACTGGAAAAGAAAACTGTTTTTCCACGACAAAATAGAAAAAAAGAAAAAAAAAAGGAAAAGAAACGCCACGAACGAATTTCTGGAGAAGCTTGTGCCTCGTGTTTCGCGCTGGCAACGAAGAACAAGTAGTAGAGGAATGCAAACGCGATTCTGGGAATTACAAAAGAAAAACTAGAGCGCGGTGGTGGCTAGCGAGGGAAGCGATAACATACGAAAGTTTCATCCGACTCGATGGAAGATAAGGAACGAAACCGTCGAATGAAATGCAAGGAATGTGGTAGAAAAGTAAATATCTACTTTGTGTGTATCACATATTTCGTTTATTATCTCTAGTGAGTAGGCTAACGACGAGTGCTCCGACTCGTTAAATTCGATTACAACGTGACACGAGATTCGTTTTATCGGCAAAATGATTCTCCAATTGTGCGAAGTTGGCACATCCGATTGCTCAATGTTGTTCCGTTCTGTGTATCTCCGCCTATGTTACACGTGTTACACTACGTTTACGCGTTGTGTGTGTTACGAGTAGATAAAGACACTTGTACGTAAAGCAAATCGGAAAAAAAAATTCCTGAAGTTCGAAAAGTAGCGCGAACCAGTTACACGACGAACGACTGAATGAATGAATGAATGAATGAATGAGTGAATGAACGTTTTTGTAAACGACGGTGAACAATTTATCAATCGGTCATTATCGTTATTACAATCTCTAGTATTGCTCATACGTACATACGTATTCTACGGAATTTACGTATTGCGGTGATTTCACAGACACAATTAACTCCGACATATCCAAATAATACCGAGCCCACCAATTTCTAGATTTCTTTTAATAAGCTTTTAACTGGAGAAACATCGTACGCCCGAAATTCTTTAAAATTAAAAATTTCCAAACTCGTACCTGCGTACCTACTCTTTTTGATATTTAACATTTAAAACGTTAAAAAATTAAAATTTACTTGCACTTACTCGAGTCTTTTAATGTTTAAAGCTCAAGACATTCAGAAGCTGAAGACTCGCTAATGACACTTGGTTAATCAAATCCACAACGCTTAACAACATTTCATAGGCGAGGGTTGAACAAGAAATATACCAGCGACTTCGTCGACGATCGTCGAGTTGGAAATTAGATACAGGACAGGAAATAATATAGATATTAGGCGGAGATAACGTGAGACAGGAAACGTATAGAAGAATAAAGTAAACACGAAGGCGCCAGTAAATTTTTAGATTATTCATGGGGTTGACATTGGGCTCTCTGTCCCTGTCTAACTTTCTGCCCGGGTCTTTCACGTGACCAACACTTATAATCAGCCCTCCCATTCACTACCATTCCAAAGCCGTAGCAAACCAAACGCTCCGAGAAACGTGCGAGTCAAAGTAAACTATGAGAATCACATAGCCGTGTTACTATCGATCCGAAATTTACGATTCGACCGGAGGGAGACGAATATGACTCTCTGGACCGTTCACGAGAAAACAACCAATTACCCAACAGGAGATCACCCGCTCGGGCCGAGTACGCTTATTGATTTATCTTCTTACGATGACTAATCGGCTGGTCACGGATTGTGCAGCACTTCACGCATGATCGTTTCGAAAAAAAAAAAAAAAAAAAAAAGATGTCGAAGTAGAAACGATAAACGATCGAACGTTGGAAGAGCTAAGTCAGGACAGAGTGAGTTCTCTTCGTGTGGAATTTTTCTGTGATAATCTCGCGGTAGTCTTCGGAATCATAGATATTAGTTTAGTTAGATTTTAGTTAGTTTAATTAGATTTTAGTTAGTAGAAAAAAGTGAGCTTCAATCTATTTTCGATAACTGTTCTCCAATTATTATATACTTCTTACTTTTGAGAATTATTTTCTAATCGTTAATGGAACAAAAAAGTACAAGTCTGAATATCGAAATAACTCTCGCAATTGTTTATGGTTAACACTATGTGCATTGTACAATTACAAATGGAAATAAAAATGATTTTCTGCCAGATGAAACGTACACGTGTATTTTTAGCACACTGATTACTCGACATCCGAGGGCGGACTCAATTACATCTAAACTAGGAATTAAAATCTGTGATTCTAGAAGACTCGTGTTATTCTGTTCAAAGCTACTCGATTTTTATAGAAATTGAAAGGGCACGCGATGCACAGGGACCACGTGGTTGCACGATGATTCGTAAACAAGCGAAGCGCGGGGAAACCACCCCCGTCGAGTGTAGTAGCCGACTCTTGTCTTATCTCCGCGTGTCGCGACATTCCGCGTTCTCACGTTTCACAGATATGCTATCGCGACCCAACCAGCGTTCTCACGATGAAAAATCTCAAGGAAATCAAGCGACAGCACCCTTTGTCAATCGCGGTTCCACGCATCGAGGACGACGTCTCCAATCGAAACCAAGTGTTGCTCAACTGACAAACGACCTGGGAATCACATTTCTAGACAAACAAAAGACCAGCGTGAAATTTTCCCTACTCTCGGAATCGCGTGAAGAAAACCGTGCAACAAGTGTCGCGTTCGTTCGTCCACCGGTGAAAGCCTTTACGAAAGGTTATGCGTGTCCTTCGTGCGAAAGGTGTTTCGTCCGTAAAGGTGTGCTGTCTGCCCCCGACGAGAGCGTGGAGATTCTTCACTTACCCGCCGCCTAGGTGCTGACCTCCCGCGAGAGAAGCTCGGAGCGACGGCAGAGCGATGCGCTTGCGAAGAAAAACAGAGTGCGGTGCGGTTCCACGTGCCGGAAGCGAGTATTAACGAACGCTGTGCATTCTCCCTCTCCTTCGCTCCTGTCCTGTCCTGTCCTACGAGAGACGCGAGAGCACACACAGACGGCGTTTCAGTTGCACACTGCACCGACAGAGAAAGAGAAAGAGAGAGAGAGAGAGAGAGAGAGAGTCGGCGTCGCGCGAGCAACGAAGCAGCAGACGGTCGACCACTCGCGAGCGTAACCAAACGGCGACTCGACGAATCGTCGTGTAAAGCCGTGCAGCGGCCGTGCCGAGTCGAAACTCGATGGTAAAGCTCGACGGACTGTACCACACTGTGGACCGACCTGAAAATTACTACTGACACGAGCGACGAACACTGGCATGTACACGGCACGGCCAGTAGCAGACGATGAAGTTCGGTTGTTAGTCGTAGCCGAGCCCTCGAAGGAAGTAGGCACGACGACTTCTCGTCTCGAGCGGGACACCTCTCGGATCGAGCCCCGTTTCGCATCGACCGCTACCGACAGCTGCCGCTCGCTCCGGCCCTTCCAACACGCTCCTGCTGCCACGATCCGCTTATATCCGTATGCACGTAGAGAGAGGGCGGCCTCTGTGCCACCGAGAGAGACACAAGCGTCGCGACGCGGCGCGCCCGACTGCTAGGGATCACCCATTGACAGAACGACTTTATATATCACCCCGTTTATTATCACTTGCGTGTACGTACGTCCGTATGGTCAGTACGTTGCGAATAGTCACCGGCTAGTTTCGTGGAAAACCGCGTTGCACCTCGCCTACCTCTCGGGACATACATCCCCGAGTGATTCACGTTGATTCACGTTGATTCACGTTGATTCACGTGGGGAAACTATTATTTTCTAGTTGAAGACGAATTACATTCACGGAACGCTGCCAGAGTTATAGCAGAGGCAGGATTTCCTGCAAGTTTGCGTCAGGGGTTTTTTCGACTTGACGAAGCCTTGTTCCCTTGTTTTTAAAATCGACGCCTCTCGAGTCTGTCATTGGTGATACTTTATCTCTGTTATTAACAGCTCTTTCGACGGAGAAGGAAGCATTTTCTTTTTCATCTAAAATTGCAGTGTGTCCCTCGAACTATCCAAACCAGTTATATCAGTTGAATCTTTATTTTCAATGAACAGTTATTAGGATTGGATTAAATTAAAAATATCACCCGAAACTGCAACCAAATATATTCCCCATTTCAAGACAGCGCTTAAAATTTGAACAAATTTTGTTCAACATGCATACGTAAAACGTGTTGAACGCACTTAACGAAATCTGAATACGATCCCGTTCGTTCGTTGGTGGCAGACTCGTGAACAGAGAACGGTCAATCAACCACGGATTGATCCTGGCTGTCGTTTGTTTTCCAGCCGTGCTTCTTCCCTTGTCTGGCAGATTCGGCGAAAGAATGGCGGGAAAGGGGAGCGAGACGGAGGAGAGGAGAGCCACGGTCTCGCCGTTGGCAAGAGAAAACGAGACAGGAAAGCGAGGAACGAAAGAAACAGAGGGACGAACCCCCCGAGGACACACTTACGAGAACGCGATCCTTGCATCCGGCGTTGAGTTCCAACGAAACTGCTCGCATGATAAAACCAACGATTCGTCCACCAGGTCCGATGAACCCTCGACTCGACTCAAGCCACTGTCACTCGCTTAACACGCTAATTAATCAGAGAGCCACGCACCAAGGTGTTTTGTTACTTTCTGAAGGCGTCGAGATCTTTCTGAACGCGAGGGACGCCACGTGGTCCCTCGGTTTCTCACGTTAACTTGCCGATTGTCATCGCGGTTGCATATCAGCGGGTCGTTGTTCGTGACGGTGGCGCCAGGCAGCGCTAACCCTCGCGAGGAGTCCCGGTTATCCGGCTCTGCCTCTCTCTTGTCCACCGATCAGGCGTCGTCGTCGTCGTCGTTGTCGTCGTCCGTTGCGCGTCCCGAAACATGAATGGAATGCTTCCTGCGGCGGCCGATGTACGCGAGAGACGGGTCTCGAATGGAATGGGCCGGTAGACTCTCCAGGCCAGGGACGGGAGCGTTGTTGTCGGTGCCCTTCGTAGGGCGAACGGCCGGCGCCCATGGCCATCGGTTTCCTCAGCGCCCCTTTCCTCCGCGCTTCGAATTTCCGGAGTTGACCGCTCCACGCGGCCACTACCGACGCCAATAATAATACACGCCTCTACGAAACTATCGCTTTTAACGTACCGGAGTACAAGTACAAGTACAAGTACTCCGGATGAATACCTCCATATTTCTGCTTTCCCAAAAAATACAATTTAACTTGTAACATATGCGTTGAAGAATTACTCGACGTATGAACTTTTTCTTGACGAACACACGTTTGTATGTGTTGTAGTCTGTTATACAGCCGTTCGAAAGTCTTGGGTGTAAAGTTTCAAGCCTTGAATAATCTTCGCAAAGAGAGTTCACATATTAATAATCGTAAAATATATTTACGTGCAATTTAATGAAATCCGTCTTGAGACTTTGTATCGAGTGTCTGAAATTCGTACCACCACCGCGAGGCGTGCATTGAGACATTTAAAAACATGTACGTAATATATAAAATATCCAAACATTTGCCACAATATATTCGGTAAATGAAATGAACAAACGTTTCACTTCTTCAATTACGTTTATAAAAGCACGAAATTGTACATCCGCAACCTAGTCATAGCGATTACATTGTCGTTATCTTTCAGTTATTTCATCGTAAATTTCATGTTTCAGCATAAAAGAAATCCGTGGTCTGTGGCGCAAGTACGCAAAATAGGTAGAATTTTCCAGTAGACAGAACTCGGATAACGATTACGATAGTATACATGAAGAAAGATCGCTCAAAACCTGGCGAGACTCTCAGAAATATCGTATGTATTTTATTACGTATTCCGTTTGGCCAGATTAGAGGATCCGGTTGAAATGGTAGCGTGTTCCTTCGTATTTTACCTCCTCAGGCGAGGCCTCGCCTTTAATTTCTGTCGATTTCCACGCATCCGTCGACGCGGATGTTCGACCGAAACTCGATCCATTTGGACGCTTGATGCCGCCTCGAGTACGTACGAGGCGGCATTTTTCTAATTAAGCGATATTCGCCACCGAGATTAAACAAGACGTCACTGGCCGCGCAACGTCGCCGAAAGGGAGGGAAAAGAAAATCATTTCGCGCATCTGCGTGTGACTAAGATCGTGCGATGTACCCGTGCGACAATTACGAGCACTTTCGTGCGAGTCGCTGATGATTCAAGCGATTTCTGTCAACTTGTTTTGCGTTACGACGAAAAATGGTAACGTAACTTTCCAGAAAACGTGAACAAACGATTCGTATGCACGCACGATCGCGGTCACAGTATTCTAATATTTATGAACATTCGTTAGAAATATATCACGTATGAAATACACCTTGAAATCGGAGAGACAGATTCTGGGAAACATTGGATTAAACATTAGATCATTTTAATATTTGTTTAACGTGGGATTGACTTCTGTAGTAATCGATGAGGAAAAGAAAGTATCTTAATATAACTGAGCTGATAAGGAAAACTGCTTGCCACGAGAGTGAAGATATAAATACATCTTTCAAAAATAAGCAAAAATAGATAATAAATTGCAGAACAAGTATTGCTACATATAATTATACATAACTACAGTTATTTATATTTACCATCGATTTGAAAGATATTCAAGAATAGATGAATCGAATAAAAATGTAAATTAATTCAGAATATATATATAGAATTTCCATATAAGAAGCAAAGTGTAATTTGTCATGTTCTTTTTCCCTGAATGGATTCTGCAGTACTATGAATCAATGCTCGTTCATCATGCTCTAATCCGATGAATTTAATCTGGCTTTAATCTGGCTCTGTGTATTTAGGAAAATACGTCTTAAGAAATAACGTAGAAAATCCACAAAGTAACTATTGTTACTTGGAGAAAAGGAACTTTTGGGACATTTTGAACAAATTGAGAAATTTCCACTTTGAACCTGAACTCGTAGTATAAAATAAAGCCGAACAAGTGGCTTAAAATAAGACGAAAGTTAAGAATATCAAAATTGGGCTTTAGTTAAATCTTAGACTCAAGAGAATTTAAATATATAAATGCAACAGAAGTGGCCAATCAAACAAGCGATCATACTAATTACTATGAAAAGCATTCTACTTCTGTTATGTTCATTCGTACATCTACAGATTTCTAATAAATGCATGTCCCATACAACAAACAGTCTACTAATTAGAGCAACGCAAATGATATGCAAATTTCATACCCACTGTATGTCTACTAATCATTCAATTCACTTTATCGTCGATATTATACCAAGAAAAAGGAACAACCAGCCCATCAATGTGTCGAATGCATAAAAGATTAACCGTCTCTCTTTCTCTATCGATCCTGGAATTCAATTCCAGCCACTTGGAAACCAGGTGCACTTGGTAAGTTCTTGTAAAAAAAAAAAAAAAAAAAAAAACGCGCAGTATTTTCGAGGCAAAGAGAACACAATGAGCTGATTGTATAGGCCACGAGTGAGGTTCGGAATGCCACGGAAATGTGCAGTTCGGCTTCTTATCATCCGCGCTGCAACATCGCGCCGTATCGACCCTGTCCCCGGCCATTCTCGATTCGTGTCATTCTCGAATCGCTAAAAATAATCCCGGCCTTTTAAGACCGGCTGTCATAACTACCCCGGCAATCTGCGCAATAAAACAGTTGGGACAGAACCGTTTGACACACGAAACATAATTATCGTTGGGCTTGTCGTAGACAATGGCGGATTCTCAAGCACTTGCTTCTATTAGTGAAGTTACAGGCGTCGAAAGACGCAAGTTATTAGTGTTAAAATAAATTCTTTCGTGCAATGTGTAACGTTAATAATTTGTTGGAGCTGGAAAGTTTGAATATCTTTCTAAATATTTCATCTCTGCTTATTTTCTCTTTTCTCTCTTGCTTTTATTTCTGATGCAATACCGATCAAATGGGAAATTATTAAATTTTACTTTTATCTCTTGATTGGATAACAGGTGGAAATTAAAAATACTTTTGTTTTATAATTTAGCAATAATTTAATGAATTATGAGTATTTACAAAAGAGAAAGAGAAAACGGAGAAGAATAAAGGTGAAAAATTGCACATTGTAAATTCTATTTCTTTCTCTAACTCTAGAATTCTAAATTGATAGATTTTTTTTAAATTTTCAAGCATGATAAGGTACCACACTTGTATTGATAGAGAAAGAAATAGTAAGTGAATTCGAGACAGGCGTGATGACTATCGCAGTCAGAGTGATTTGAGCTGATTGTTTGTGCCTCGTAATTCATCAAATTCGATTATCGAACAATCGAACGATCTATATTTGAAAACTGACTGACATTCGGTTCTAATTCCATTGATAAACAACGAAGTACGTCGTGTCCATTTACAGTTCGACAAATTATCTTCATTAGATCTCCCTTTAATTCTTTCAATGACTCCTCTCTCTCTTTCTCTCGCTCGCATCGTTTGTTTAATCATTTAATCAAGCGATTTTACCGACCTCAGTTTCATTACTGTATTTACAACCTGCTACATTGCTCAATTGGCCAATGACGTACGCAATCGTGACTCAATAAATTAACTGACGATTTTACGAAAAATTTTCGACGGACGCGAAACGACAAGTCACGATTTT